AACTTACATTCTTATGATTAAAATGGTTTTGGTTCCATTTGCAGGGATTCTTCAACTTCACTTCCAGAAGGCCACGGCATTTGCTGCAAATCCTAGAGCTTGGATATAGCGTGATGTACAATGATGTTGATATGGTCTGGCTAGCAGATCCATTTCTTTACCTCAAAGGAAAACATGATGTGTACTTTATGGATGACATGGCTGCTGTAAGTTTATCGTCTCGATATTTAAGTTGTTTCATTGAGATGATCATCAGATATTACTTGTTTTTATTTATTTCCAAAAACCTTGGCCTCATTTTGTTTTTGTTGTAATCTTGACCAGGTCAAACCGCTGGATCACCCTAATGTCCTCCCACCTCCTGGGAAAAAAGGGCGTACTTATATTTGCAGCTGTATGATTTATATGCACCCAACACCAGGGGCAAAATTGGTCCTGAAAAAGTGGATTGAAGAGCTTGAAAGTCAACCATGGTCAAAAGCAAAGAAAGCTAATGACCAGCCTGCTTTCAACTGGGCATTGAACAAAACAGCAGGCCAGGTGTCTTTCTCATACCTTTAATTCAACCTTATTGTTTATGGCTGCGTACTTTGAAACATTAACCCATTATATTATGGTTTGTTTAATAACTACCTATATTTTTTCAAAGTACAATGCCTGATAACAAAGAATTTCAAAGTACAATGCTATATATATATATATATATATATATATTTTTGGGAAAGTAGAATGCTAAAATAAGAAAAATTGAAAGCAGGTGGACCTATACCTGCTCCCTCAGGCAGCATTTCCAACAGGTGGACTATATTTTAAGAATCAGACATGGGTGGAAGAGACCAAGGGAAAACATGTTATAATTCATAACAATTACATTCTTGGTTTTGAAAAGAAAATAAAGCGCTTTCATGACTATGGTCTTTGGTTGGTTGATGATCATGCCTCCGAATCGCCACTTGGCAGATTACAATAGGCTGCAACCGTCTACCACTATATCTTTCTCTTTCCCTAGAGGTTTAGGTTCAAATCTCACATGGAAATCAACTCTTTATGTACTATTATTCTTTTGTAGAAATCTTGTAAGTTTTCAACTGCACAACCTAAGTTTTATTTTTTATTTTTTATTTTTTTTTGAATGTTCATGGTAAAACTACAAATGAAGGCACAAATCCTAAAATGATCTTTACAGAATTTTATCATTACAATAATAATCTCCCTATCCTTCTCATTAGTTAGTTATGGGTGGTCTATTAACCACACTGCAGTACGCCCTTGTATCTTCCCCGTGAATGTGGGTGGATGAGATCTCTCACCAGACTCATGGTGGCCTGGTGTATATTGATTATTGAGGACGATGTTATGCATCATACAAATAATCATTTTCTTTATGTGATTTTATCTACTAGTTACTGAAATAAATCATACTTTGAAATACGCACAGGATAACTTATCTTATTTTTACAACTTCGAATTTGAAGATTACAGCCAAATCACAATCACTTATTAAACACCTCAACAACAGTACCAAAACAAAACCAACCAAGTTAAGTATTATTTCCATATTCACAGAAAAAAGAGACTTGTAACCTATCAATATCATTCAACAACTTTCCTTTCGTATATGCACAGTCCACCAAACCATCTAAATTCTTAAAACAACATAACGGCGTTTATTGTATTTGATGTACTTTATATATATATATATATATATATATATATATATATATATATATATATATATATATATATATATATATATATATATAACCTGTGAGAACCACGGTTATAAAATCAATTAAATTTTTATATTAAAAAATCAAATTTATTACTCAATTATTTTAAAAAATTATTACTTAAGAAATATTTTTTTAGTTATATAAAGAGAATTATAATCAATGATTTAAATAAATATGTGAAGTTAAATCACCTTATAATCTATATTAACTTTATTTTATTTTTCAATCTAATGTTATTAATTTAATATAATTAAAGTGAGAAAATTAAAATTTTGAAATTTAAAATGAGGAATCAATTATTGATTTAATGTAATTAGAGTGGAAATTTAAAACTTGAAATTTGAAATGGATAATTAATAGATTGATAAGTGATATGATATATGATATATAACATTAATGAGTAGTCCTAATTATATAACACTTGTCAAGATGAGATTAAACTTATTCTTTTATTAGAATAGGGATATATATATATATATATATATATATATATATATATATATATATATATATATATATATATATATATATATATATATATATACGGTAAGAAATTTTTTTGGTAGGAAAGTAAGATTTCTTTTTTTTACATACTTTTTTGACGAACAAAAGAAATGAATCAATAGATGAATAAAAAATAACATGATTCAACAAAAAAAATCTCAAAAAAACACACCGATAATTCATTTATACAATGATTTCGTTGTTATTCACTAATATTGTCATAAAAATGAATTTTTTTTCTTAATTTACATAAAAATGAATCATTAAGATGTTTTTTTGGGATTTTTTTTTTTCTTGTGAATCATCTAATAATTCATTTTGTAAGTTCGCTAAAAAATATATGCATATACCTTTCTATCAAACTTTTCCTTCTAATTTAATCTTGACTCTCTCTCTCTCATATATATATATATATATATATATATATATATATATATATATATATATATATATATATATATATATATATATATATATGGGTAAAGTGAATATACCTAAGAACCTTATATAAGCTTAGGTACTTAACCTCATCAAACTACGTCATTTTGCATTAAATTTTCATTGCAATCATCCAAAGTTCTTAAACTTCATCCCTAAACTTGATTTACTTTAAAAATATTTGGAAATTCATCATTATATTTCTCCTACATCCTTTCATTTGTAGCGGTAATTACAATGTAAATATGATACAAACCGATGTAATATTATGGAGTTAGGTACCTAAGCTTATATAAGGTTGTTAGGTATATTCACTTTACCCATATATATATATATATTCTACCTTGCGGCTTTCATTTATTAGCTATTAAACATCAGTTTCTACGTAGTTTGGCCAAACATACCCTAAAATTTTGTAATTATTGTGTTTGCTCTAGCAAAAATCAGTAAGTTTAGCACTTTCGTGGGAATAATGTTTGCAACGTTGTGGATATGCATCCATCACCAACTATAACCTCATATTTTGACTTTAGTTTCTTTCCATAAATTTTTCTATCACGTCCCTATTAAAACGGCTTCAGAACATTGATTAGTAGTCAAATATTTGTATTTTAATAAGTTATATGAAAAATCAAACATTGTGTATTGTTTGAGCAAAGGGAGTAATAGCTATTAACAGCCAACAAGCTAAACTGCACCAAAAAGCATAAGCACAAGCACAAGCACATTAGGAGAAAATATTGCTATTAAAACTTGCAAATTATGCATCAAGACTTGTACCTCACTGGGCATATGTTAAAATTCAATCTGAACCGGCAAACTGCACCCAATAACTTGGATACAAATCATATTCTACGTCAATTCATTAAAAGTTGTACATCATGCATTAAAACTTGTACATCATCCATTAAAGACTTGTACTCGGACTAGAAAGGCCTAGGAGGCTTCTCCAAAACAGCAGAAAAGAAAACCTCTCTATCATCATCTTTATCAACCTTTGGTACAACCACCCACTTGTGCCTTTTGTACCTCAACATCTTGAAACCCTCCAAATAATCCTCTAAATCCTCCTTTAAGCAAAAAAAACTATCAATCCATAACAACCCTCCGGGCCTAAGTACTCTGTCCCAATCATATAGTACAAAATCTAATAGCACGAAATCGATCCACCCGTCCAGAAACCTGGTGGTGTGGATGAGATCCAACGTGTTATCAAAAAACGGGAGCCGTTGATTTATCGTCATGTAGATCGGTACAAGTCCACGAAGCGCAATCATTTCACTAAAAGGCGCCCCAAGGTTTATCGTAGCAGAGACAATCGTGACATTGTGGTCCCGCATTCTAGCGGCAAAAGTACCCGTTCCAACGCTAAAGTCGAGACCGATACGTATCTTGCCGGGCTTCAGGTCTAGAATTTCTGTGATCATCAAGTCGGGAGTTGAGTTGGTCGGACCAAGATAAACGGGTCCGACCCATCTCGGCATTTCATGATGTGTCAGATTGAAACAATCTGCACATTTGAAGAAACCTTTGCCTGCCTTGCTGGCAGCAAGACATGCAAAACCTTTGCATCGGTAATGACTCCATCGGACGTTTTTATCATCCGGGAGTCTCCAAATGGACTCGGGGATTGGGTACGGTTCGGTGTAGAACCGTGGGGCTCGTGAGAAGCACCGTCTTCTAGGCAATGGGTCGCACCCGTGCACCATTAACCGTTGAGCCAACTTCCAATCATCATTGCATATGTCACCCACATCATAATTCATATACTCTTCGAGCTCTTGTTTCATTGAGAAACACGCATGTCCTATGCTAGTGAATGTCCCGTTTGCGCCCATGAAGTTTTGCTTTCCTAATCTGTTCGGTTTCATTCGAACATATTTCCGGATTTCTTCTGTCAGAAAGAAATCCTGCGAGACGTGAACCGGTTGAACTGAATACAACTGATTCACGTCACGTTCAGGTAATCCAACAACATCGTGGAAGTTTTCCACAAACTTTGCAGACTCAATTAAACCCAAAATGTCTGCAAGAAATGAACCGTATCTTAACGCGTGCGAAGAATTCTTGTATGAAACTTTAATATCGATAATTTCTTGCTCGATTTTCTTGATAACTGTCTCTAATATCTTGATTTCAGGATTATAGGTAACATGAGGATTAGAATCATACATGCATTTAGTATCCAAAATAATAAAAGGGTTGAAAGAGTAAAATTTTGAAAATAAAACCACACAAATAAGTGAAAAAACACAAGATAAGAAAACAAACTTGGGAATTCCTCTCGATATGCTTAACTTCATTTTTGCTATGAAAAGTTAAGAGTTACATCCTACATCAAACATGATAAAAATCTAAGCTTTGCTTGGATTTTGAGATACGAATCTTTTGAATTTTTAATATGATCTCGAATCTTGAACTTTTGGTTTGACTATTTAAAGTAATAGTTTATGAGCAAATTGGTTTCAGATTCAAGGTTCTAGTTTGACAGATGGAATAAGAAGAATTAACAATTGTTTATCACAGTGTAAGCAACCTTAAAGTCCTGTATAAACAAATGCATCCATGATTTCTGAACCTACAATGTAGCTCAAGTGATGCCAAATTCAAGATAATATAATGTAAAAAAAATGCATATTATGATGCGTAAATAATGGAACCGAATTACTTTCTCACAATCACGATCCAAAAACTCGAAAAGATGCAGGAGATGAAATTTGATCACATGATTTCGATGGTGTTTGAAAAAAATCACAGATTTAAAAAAAAAATGATCTTCGTGTGACCATGGAAAAAGTTGGTCAACCATTACGATTCATGAACAGGGAAAGGATCAAACGTCTCGAAAATCATGGAATCGCAACAAAAATCACATGAAAGATGAAGAATTTCATGAGTAATTTCACTTTTTCAATCTGTTCAATTAAGCCAGAATAAAAAAGCTTGAATCTTATAATTCGAATATGTTATTGATCAAATAGAAGCTAGAAAATGAAGTAAGAAGAGAAATTCTGAAATCACAAAATCTGAAACAAATCAAAATCTGAACCTCTTAAAGTCATCTAAATTCACTAATCAAAACCCTAATTTTTAGAGAGGAGAATCATCAGTTCATCGTAATATTACTAAACAATCAGCGAACACTCGGAACAGAATGCGAGGAATCTGGTAACGCTTCCGTTAATTACCTCCGGCGACGTCCGTCGGAATACTGTGAGAGAGGAACAACCTCCGCCAACGGAGTTGACAAAGGCGTAGGAAGCGGAGAACTCCGGCAAACAGGGCAAGTAGCGTTAAGCTTCAACCAAGCATCAACACAAGTCAAATGAAAACAATGCTTACAATCAGGTAACATCCTCAACATCTCCCCCTCCCTATATTCACACAAACAGATTGCGCATAAAGAATCAATTCCCTTCGAGAACGGAAACTTAGGGTATGAGTTGATCACTGCTTGATCAAGTCCTACGACGGCGTTCTGCTCTTCATCGTCGTTGTCGTTGTTGTTTTCATCTACGAAGATTATACTCGGTAGAATTACGCCGTTATCGCTAGGGTTTTGGTTTTGGTGGCGATGCTGGTACTGGTACCTGTAACGGTGGCGGAAGCAGATGTAGGAAGCGAGGAGGAGGGTGGCGAAGAGGACGAGAAACCCAAGTGCGATGGCGATGGCGTAACCGAGGCCGATGTTAGTTAGGTAGTAATGGGTAGGGCTAGTGATTGGGGGTGGAGGAGGAGATATGGTGGACATTGAAGAAATAGTGGTGGTGGGTGGTGGTGGTGGTGATGTCCATTTGGAGGGAGGAGACAGGGAGGACGTGGTGGTGGTGATGGATATTATCGGAAGTGGGTGGGTAGGTCGCTGAATTGCAGCATTAAATGCGAGTTATAGAGAGAAAGGTCATTAATGTCGATACAGAGGAATCAAAGCATGAAAATGGCGGATTGCCATTGAAGAACCTACCATAAACCACAACGCTCCCCCATCCAATTTTCTTTGTTTGTTTGTTAATGGGTTTATTAGGAAGGACACTTGGAGCCACAAAGTTATTTTTTCCTTTACGGATTTTTAGGATAAAAAACCAATTTTTTATTAATTTTTTAAAATATATATTTAACTTGTTTTTGTATAAACTTTTTTTTAAACAGGTTTGATAAAAATAGATGATAGTTTAAAGCTGATAACCAAAAATTAAAATTTTATCTGTATAAAATTATAATATTTAAAAAAATATAAAATAACTTTAAAAAGATAATGACTCTATGTCAACTTTCAAGAGTTGAGGGCTCTACTCCATCCATCGAGTAAAGTAATTCACTATCGGAATTTCTTTTGCTGCCTATCTCATGCTTCTTCTTTCTTCAAATCAGTTCCTAGTGTTAGTCAATCAAGATTCACCATACGGGGATCCACTTTAGGCTAAAAGAAGAACGAATTTAATACCAGACATCTTTCCTAAGAGATGCAACAAATACATCAGGAATTTGAGGATCTCATGCCCACGATTGAGTTGCCAAGTGCCCCTTAGGAGGGTCAATCTATCATAAGATTAAGTTGGAGCCTGGTGCCATTTTCCTTAAAGGGGTGTTTGAGATTGTTTTTTAAAACAACTTATCGATTTTATGGCTTTTTGAAAAACTAATAAGTAAAAAAAAATGTTTGTCAAACTAAAAAATACTTTTCGGAATAGCTTTTTTATTAGCTTCAAAAGACATATTTTAAAAAACATATAAAACTTGGTTTGTTGAAACAATTTTTGGTTTTTTAACCAACATAATTTCAAAAAACACTTTTTAAGTCAAACAATTATTAATTTATTGACTTATTGACTTTTTCACCATAAAAATTAATTCAAACATTTTTTAAAAAACGCATTTTACTACCACTATAAGTTAATACACATTTTTATCTAAAAAAACTTCTAGAGTTTAAAAAGAACTCCCAAAAATCTCCTTAGAGTTAAAAAAAAAACGCATTTTACTACCACTATAAGTTAACACACAATCGAAACTTTCAAGTGTACATGTTTCCTCACTATCCTATTTATTTATTTTGTATCCAATTACAATTAAACTCTTTTTCAGTTGTTCAAAATTAATATTATGACCAATTATTGTATATTAATGTTTATTTTGCATCTAAGTTGTCATCTCTGAGACCTTGGCACCTTTAGAAAGTTTCCAAAAAAAATACAACACTAAACTTTCTTCGGATTATATGCAATGTTTTAAAAACCGGTTGGACCGATAAATGGGGGAATAAGCGATTCAATTATCACCGGTTTTATGTCGAATTTTGAACCGGATTGAACCGATTTAACCCAGTTGAACCGGTTAAACCTGATAAAAATATATGGAAAAGAGCAATTTGTATAATAAACTTTGGTGATTTTTTTTTCAAATCTATTTGGTTTTCTATAAATAAAAATATATAATAATTGTTATAAAGTTTTTTGATGTATATTTATCTAAAACTATATTTTGTTTTGATATTATACTTTTTTTTTGACATATATGAATTAATGTAAAACACTAAAGCTTATGATTATGCGTTATTTTAATGTATTTTGATTTATCCATAACCTGTTTTTATATGTATTTTTAATGTTTGAACTTGTAAACGTCAAATCCATGGTTTATATATGTATGTATCTATAAAAAAAAATAGGAAAAATTATAAAAATTATAGAACTGGTTAACCCAACGGTCGAATCGGAAACCGATCACCATACCAGTTCTACTACAAAACCGGTTTTCAAAACACTGATTATATGCGTGTTTTTTGTTGCTGGAATTAATCAAGATCATCACAACACATGAACTAGATTTTAGATCTTCATTCTCCTATTTTTGAGTTCTTGATTTCAGAACATCAAAACAATCTCTAAACACGTTAACAAAATAGTTATTCAGTTTTTGTTATTCAAAAGTATCTCCAACCCCACGTTCTTGAGTTTTGGAGTCGCTCTGGTTTTCTTGTCATATTCCTTCTCCTAACACATTAACACACATACATATCAATTTGCTTAGATTTGTGTTTGTTTTTGTCCAGATGTGGATTTTCACTGTTTTCAGATTTTTTTTTCATCGTAACACAGACGACACATGTTGTGAGTTTTTGTTCCAACACATGAACACATACATTCTTGATTTTTTTCTCGAAACAAATGAACACACACGTTCTTGAGCAGTTGTTTGGATTAATCAGGCCGCCTGACATTTCGGAAACCTTATGTAAAAAACAATTTGAGGCCCCAAGCGTTCCCTGGTAATGTGGCATATCAAGTTCCCTTATGAAATCTAATTTTGGAGCTTTTATATGTATACTTTGTTTGAAGAACTGATTTCTAACTTATACATGTAATTTTCGATCTTCTCTATGTATGTTTTGTTTTTCTAACTTACACATGTATATGCCTCTGTCGATAACAGATAACATTAAATCGTTACGTTAAGAAAATTAGAAGTCATGCAATTAATTATCACTAGTAACTTTACGCCAAAGATGACAATATGATTTTTCCCATTAGACATTGCACATTTTTGGTGGTTCCTTTGTCGTTGCACTTCTCCAACATTTTTCACATGGTCGACTAAGTTTGATTTGATGTTAATTTTACATTTTTACTCATGTAATATATAAAATTTACCCAAGTAGTGAAATAGTAGAGTTTGCGATTGTGGAAGTGGGTAAATGTTGGCGATTACCTAAAGGAAGGGTGCAATTTGGTGACAAATACATGTACGCTAATAAATATAAGTTTTGGAATTAAAACAAAAACTTAAACATAAGATAATTGAAAAGTATGTGATAACATCACACGTACAAGATTGATCTTATTTATGATTTTTTTTTTTTTTTTTTTTTTTTTTTAAGTGTATTGTATTCAAGTAAAGAAGTCGGAGAGGGTAGGGAGCTTGACCTCACCGGTACTAGTGATTGGGATGCTGATGTTACCAATGAGAGGGAGATCAACAACCAGTGTGACTTTAAGGTCATAGTCGATATCCCAATCTCTACCAATGTCCTTCACCAAGGTAACCAAAACACTGTGTGGTACTTTTATATCCACGTTTAACATCGTCTCACCATCCCCTTTCAGTGAACCTGGGTCTGGGACTGTTCCGCTTGCAATCTCACTGGTTCAATCCAAAACATCAAAATTACTCATCCATCAATATTTTAATTATAAAATACTTACTTCACCAAATTAACTTAATATATTATTAAATAGAATTAGTCGAAATCTTAAAAAAATAAATAAATAAATAAACTTGTAATCTATTAATTAAAATAATAATAACAAATACTTGTTATAAACAAAACTAAACAGCATAATTTGAAAAGTCTTTTGCTATATATTTAGAGGGAATATGCTTCTTATTATTCCATGAGCGATCTTAAACAATAAGTACATCCAACTTTACCAAAACCAAAAATGATGTGATTATTTAATTAATAATTAATAATTTGGATTTCGTAATTAACAACTTCCATACCTACATTTACCGTGTGGGATTTTGTGTACAAACAGATCTGCCCAACCTTTTGACAATGTGTAATAGATCCTTAACACGAACTAAATGTTTAAGAAAAGTTTTCTACCAAAATTCCATGGCTACATCTACTGTGTAGAAGTTTTGTGAGAGTAACAGATAAACGTGAAAGGAGATCGAAACAAGCTGCCGAAACTCTCTCTCGATAACAGATCCTCACCACGTCTGATTATTCACATTTTTGGTAAAATTTAGAATTTCAAGGTTACAGATATAAAGCAAATGACAAAATGATAGCAAAAGAACCTGCCAAAACAAGTCCTTAGCGTATACGATAGATTGTTCTTATTTTCAGTAAAATTTTGATTTGATAATCGAGTACTTGCATAGCTACAACCTACATTAAGTTTACTCTGTTGAAAGGTAAACGAGACTAAATGAACAAAATGATAGCAAACGAACCTGCCGGCACTTTTAAGAACGTAACGGATCTCGCCGATTGGAATAGATACGCTGTAAGGATTTAACACCTTGACCTTAGCCAGATAAGTCACAGAACCGAGACTAACTTCTTTCAGATCGACATCCGTCACACTCGCCTCCGGCTTCTCCATGCTCGCCACCGCATCCGAAACGAATTGCTTCGCCTTGTCCAGCAAACTGGCCATATCTCCGGCGACGATCGTCAACCACAGTTTCAAAAAGGAAAAAGTTGGATTGTTTTGCAAGAGAATTTGCTTTTGCTCTAACTTGATCCAAATAACATGACATTTATACATAGTTAGGTGAGGGGGGAGGGGGGCAAGGATCCATGGGTCGGGCCTTAAAGAGTGGGTCACACGTGATACTTTTTTTGTCTACAAAATTTCAAACACTGTCCCTGTGGTTTGTAAATAAAATCACCGCAAATGATCCTTAAGTAATTTGTTGCATAGATGACTTTTAAGTTTAAAAAAATAAACATATTTATCCCACTCCAATTCCAGACTCCTTCTCTATAAAAACAACCTGCAATTAGAAAATCTGCATATACACACAATTGCAAATCAATAAAAACACAAATGTGCAAATCAATATAAAATAAACACACATCCCACTTATGTTAACTGAAACTCTTTGAACAACGTGTTTGAACCAGAGCGCTAGACTGAAATCCTCTTTTACTGTATTTTGAATATCTTTAACTTCATATAAATAAAAAACTTCAACTTTGCAACTATAATCAAATTTGTAACTGTAGGATTCAACTCCAATCTGTAAATAAAAAGCTTCAAATTGATACCATATCCTTTTGTGTCCCCATTATGGTCACATGCATCGGACTTCTCTTGGATGATGTCATCTACAGATCATTTGGTTGCCACTTCCATCTGAACTTGGTTGTTATTATGGTTGCCAGAGAGAAAGCAAGGGATAGAGAAGGTTAAGTGAAGAGGGGTTTGGCGAGAGTGAGAGAGAAATTTTGGTTTTGACAGAACAGATAAAAGATAGGCAAAAAAAGTCTTTTCATATAATAGAAAAACACAAACGGCGTAATACAAAGGTTTACAAGGACCATTTATGATATTTTATTATTTTTGTAAATAGTATGGACCATTTTTGACATTTTATCTTTTTATAATTATATTTCGTGTTCTAATATAAAATATTTTACAAATTTGTTTTGTTTATGTTTAAATTTATTATTTATAAAAAAAAAAACCTCCTCAAGCGATTTTTTATTTTGTTTTTCTCATTCCGACCATTTTGGTAGGTTTAACCGTAATCATTTAGTAATTTTTTTTTTCAAACAAAAATCTACCTTTATTTTTTTTTTCTTTTTAAACTCATATTTGACAAAAAAATAATTTGATGACAATTTTGTCTTCTTATTCATAGAATATAAGTTATTGGTTAACTGGAGTGAAGGTTCCAAAGATGCAAGCAATATGAAGACACTTTTGCTTCTTTCTTTTCCATAAGATATAAGTTGAAGTGATTAAATGAAATTTGAAAAAAAAAAAAAAAAAAAAAAAAAAAAAATCTTGAATGATGTGTAAAGTTGCCGATTACTTAAACCTAAAGGGTGAAAGCGTATAAGTTGGTCGTATGAATAATGAAATCATCCTTGGAATTAAAATAAAAACTTATACATAAGATAGTTAAAAAGTATGTGATCACGTACAAGATTGATCTTATTTATCATATTGTAGATCGCTACAGCTATTCACGTAGTAAAGAAGTCGGTGAGGGAAGGGAGCTTGATCTCACCGGCACTAGTGACTGGTATGCTGATGTTACCGATGAGAGGGAGATCAACAACCAGTGTGACTTTAAGGTCATAGTCGATATCCCAATCTCTTCCAATGTCCTTCACCAAGCTAACCAACACACTGTGTGGTACTTTTATATCCACGTTTAACATCGTCTCGCTATCCCCTTTCAGTGAACCTGGATCAGGGACTGTTCCACTCCCAATCTCACTGATCAAAATCCAAAACCAAAACCGAAATCACTAATCATTCAATCAATCAATCAATATATATATATATATATATATATATATATATATATATATATATATATATATATATATATATATATGTTTTTCGAGTGTTTTCCTTATCCGAACTAATATTTTAAGTTTTCTAGCAAAAAGCATGATATCCATGGCTACATGTACTCTGTAAAAAATTTGTGTGAGAAAGGAGATCGAAACTGATAACGACTAGCAAATGAAGCTGCCGAAGCTCTCGAGAGTCTAACAAGTCCTTAGCGGATACGATTGATTGTTGTTATTTTCAGTAAAATTTGGATTTGATAATCGAGGACTTGCATAGCTACAACCTACATTTACTCTGTGGATAGGTATATAGACAAAATGATAGCAAACGAACCTGCCGGAACTTTTAAGAACGTAACGGATCTCGCCGATTGGAATGGATACGCTGTAAGGATTTGAAACGTTGATCTTAGCCAGATAGGTCACACAACCGAGACTAACATCTTTCAAATCGACATCCGTCACACTCGCCTTCGGCTTCTCGATGCTCGCCGCCGCATCCGAAACGAATTGCTTCGCCTTGTCCATCAAACTGGCCATATCACCGGCGATGATCGTCAATCACAATTTCAAAAAGTAGAAACTCGGATGGTTTTGCAAGAGGAATTGGATTTTGCTCTAACTTGAAGGATATACCATAAGATATTTATACAGAGGGGGAGGGGGGAAGGATCCATGTGTCGGGCGTCAAAGAGTGGGTAACACGTGGCACTTATTTCTGTCGACAAAATTTCAAAGATTGTCGCAAATAGTCCTTGAGTAATTTCTTGCATAGATTTAATAGAAAAACAAACAATGTAAACCAAAGACTATATATGCAAGCTTTACAAACTTAAAGAGCATCCATGCAACAAAATTCCTCACAAAGACCATCTTTAACATTTTTTTTTAAATAATATGGACCATTTTTTAAGTTGTCTTTTTATAATTTTATTTCGTGTTATCATATACAAAGATTTACATTTTTGTATTTTTTATATTTAAATTTATTTTTGAAAAATATGTAACACTCGGTTTTTAGAACGAATTAGTTTAGGGCTTCAAATAGTCAAATACAAGGTTTTTGGGTAAAAACAGGTGTCACGACGCGACAATAGAGATGTCATGACGTGACAAGTGATTAATTGAAAAATGTTGATTTAACTGAGCTCACGACGTGAGACACAAGGCTCACAACATGAGATGCGTTGCAACCCAAGCTCATGATTTGTTAG